CAATTACAAAACTGAAAGCTCCTGGGCACCTTTACGTCTGTCGCTGTTGACATTTGGAGACCAGGTTAGAGAAGCATAGTTCAAATGGAGTCTCATGTATGGCATAAAATTGCTGTGGTTTCCGGTAATCTCTATCTTCGGTCCACCAAACTTCTATTCACTTGTTTTTCATATCCATTCTTATTGCATGTGTTGTTTTAATTTGTAAATTTTCTGAGAGAAAACGTGGAGCTCACCATCTTACTCGCTGCAACATTGAAATAGGAGTAGTAGCAAATGGAGTTCACCATTTGGTTCACACTGCAGCCTTTTTGAATTTTGCTGGCGTGGCCTTGCCAGAGCGGGTGAAGAAGAAAGAAGAAAGCTTATGCTTTTTTTTCCATGCTGGAAGCTCTGATTGCCATTTTTAATACTTTTAAATAATATTTTTGCCACATCAAATAATTAATTGATGATATATATGAAAAAGGATTAAATTATTACATGTGAAAAGTTGAGGGACTGAGTCATAACCGAGTTGAAAGTTTAGGGACTCAGTCATGTCAAGTCATAGTTAAAGGACTGAATCAAAAATGAGTTAAGAGTTGGAGGGCTAAACGATTAATTTTCCCTAATAACAATGATAATTATAATGATAATGATAATAAAATAAAAAATAGCTTTTGTACTCTCTCACACGTTTGCATGCATGTTTTCGAGAATGATTGCTTCATTTCTAAGATTATAAAGCTTTAATATTCATATAATTCCTCTTAGAGATTTGCCACCCAACCATATATTAATATGTAAGAAACACAAACCACTGCATATATTAAAATAATCTTAATAATAATCTTTGTGAATTGTACTGAATGGACATTTTGTCCTCTATATTATTATACTATTACATTATTAAATAATATCAAGTGGATTCAAACTGATAAATAATGAGATTTGAAAAATGTACAAATGAATTATCAACTATTAATTTTTAATCTCTCCCAACAAGAAAACGGATGTGCGAAGCTAAGGTGCAACGTGCGGAGTTGCTCGAGCGTCTCGCTTAGCGTCAGTTTGAGGGCTTGAGACGTCCTTGCTTCTTCGTCTTTTTTGAGTTAAACAGATACTTTTTTTAAAAAAATTATTAATGTAGTTTCTTGGTCTGGTTTTAATGCCCATGATTGCAAGGGAATATAGACCATCTGATTCTAATTTGAGCAGTCTAAATTTATAATTTTTAAAATGATATACTTAATTTTTTTTAAAAGAATAAAATTTAGAAAATTGTCTATATCTTAAATTTTGTATTTACTCAAACAAAAGGTTAATAAAATAAAATAACGTTAGATGTAGATTATCCAAATGGGTGATAAGAGCCAAACTTAATTCCAACTAATCCTCAAACTTCTAGTTGTTTACAAACTCTTGTAACATATATTACATTTTGTTAATTTACAACAGAAGCTAATTCTTTGGTTTGGAAAGGAAATTCTTTGGAGGACTTATTTTTAGCTGCGAAAAGGTTTGATCAACCATTTTGTTCCATTCATACTATGCACTTCGCCAACGTTAAGAAGAATCAAAGACGTGTTTCAAATCATTCAAGAGTACTTCGTCTTTTGGTGGCATATAATCCCACCAAATAAAAATTAAAAAAAAACCTTTTGGGAGGAAGCATCTTGATTGCATAGCCTCAATCCGGGTAGTTGGTTGTTTGGATACCATCTTGTTAATAAGATTTAGAAAAAGTGTCAAATACCAAGTAACTCAAAGAATTATTTAAAAAAAAAAAAATTTAATGTGCAATTTTAACAACAAAATTTACTTCAATAAAAACTGGGCATTATAAAATTTATTTAGGTGCAAAAATATACATGAATTTGTTAAAAGAGGACAATTGACATCACGCCATTAACCTCCATTACTTCACCATTTTTAGGGCCCACGAATCAGTTTTAAGGTGTATTTTTAACAATAAAGTTTATCCCAAGAAGCATTACTTGAATACAAAAATAAACATGAACTTTCTAAAAGGAAGAAAAAATAGCAGAATTCACTAACTCCCATAAATGTCCGTTAATTTTATTCTTTGGGTTCCACCAATCATCACATTTTTCTCTATCCATTACCACTTCCAAGTCTATCAATCTTTCTCTCATTATAGTCAACACACACATTCTCTTTTTGTCATGCCGTTTTCTTAGCCTCTAAGCGTTTTATATGTATTTATCTAAGACGATGTCTTTTCCTTCTAGGATACAAGGTTTATTGGTTGCACTCAAGTACTACCTCCAATCTTTAATACAAGAAGCAGTTGACTGATTAAGTATTTTTATAATTTTTCTTAAACTAGTCCATTATACTAAGGAGAGGAAGAAGTGGGAATGTGTGGAGAAAAAATGTGATATTTAGTGAGATCTAAAAGAATAAAACTAGCGAATGTTTATAAGATCTGATGAATTTTGTTATTTTTTCTTCTCTTTTAAAAAGTTCATGTATATTTTTACACTCAAGTAAACTCTATAGTACCCAGTGATAAAACTCCGGTGTTAAAAATGCATATTAAAACTAACTTTGTGAATTCCATTAACGGTAAAGTGACGGACGTTAACGGCGTAGTGTTAAATGTCCCATTTTGACAATTTCATATATATTTTTTCACGAAATAAACTTTATGGTGCTCAGTACCTCTTAAAATAAATTTTAGTGTTAAAATTACACCTCAACCTAAAAGAAAAAAAGAAAGGCATGCTTCAAATCAACACAGTCGGAAGATGAAGCTAATTAGTGCTTAGCTTGGTTAATGATTGAAAAAATACGTAGAAGTGTGTGCATATAAATCCATTTGTTAGGTTTTTATTTCTGTCTTACATATTTTAGTATATTGTATAGATGATATAATTAAGGCAAAAGAGAAATTGATTTTAGTGGAACATAAGTAAGTTTTTTAAGAATTCATATTTCTGTCCCAATAAGTATGTAATAATGATATCAATGATGATGCCCTAATAATTAATGTTGTGGCGCCAGCCTCCTAAATATATCAATTTATTTCACAACCGAAAACACATTTAAATAATTATATTATTTATCATGTATTCCATTGTAGGATTCCAAATAATGAAATTTTGAAAATTTTAAATTAGTACCAGAATTGTGATGGAAAACATCATTTCAGATTTAGCAATAGAAAATTTCCATTTCTGATTTTCATCCCAGAATATTTCTATCACTAATTTCATGAAAAAAATCTTTTTGTGGCAAAAATTAACAACTAAATTTCATCCCAATTTCTTTTGTGACAGAATTAACTACAAATTACCCACGAAATTTTGTAACGAAAATATTATGCCATTAATTTTCTTGCAGCTGAAAAATTTTGTCATTAATTTTAACAATAAAATTTTTAATCAATTTATGACATAGTGATGGAATAAATTTCTATCACTATTTTTTTTTTTTGGTTTTTTCTAGTGAGCAGCTAAGCAGAAGTGACCAAGTATTGGTTGGTTTAGAGTACTTATTTTTGTTCACATGCTTTTGCTATATTTGCTACTTAATCTAAACTCATCAAAGACGGTGGTGGGTAGGAAATTAGCGGAAGGGGAAGACAGCAAGAGATCAACTCAAATTAGTGCGAAATCTAGGGATTTTTGTCCCTTAGAAGACATGAGTTTACGATTATCTTCATTATTTAATATTTTAATTTTTTCAGTGAAGTTAAATTTGGTTTTACAATATCATGTCCTAACTTTAATGTTAATGCTTGTTTTACAATATAAATATACTACCTCTTATCTCAAATATGAAATCCATTTTTTAATTACAAAATAAATTTTATATTAAGATTGAAAGTAGTATTATTATTTATCTAAATATATTCTAAAATAGATACTTGCTAACATCATTTTTACTTATGTCCTCCCAGTCGAGTCATAAATAGCCCTTTAAAACCTACCTAAAAATCTTTATTGTGTGGTCTCAAGGGGGGAAAAAAAAAGATGTAAAAACACTTATAGAATTTTGATAAAAATTACTTTGTCCAAAAAATATAATTACTCAAAAGTTTTATAACAAGTGAAATGATGAATTCTACCATAATAAATGCTAACAAGATCCATGTATCATTAAAATTTTGGATTAATATAATATAATTTTTGGTTTTCAAGTTTACTTTCATTTTAGTTTTAATCCCTAAAATTTCAAATAATAGATTTTAATTTCTTAAAGAGTAAAGTAGTCCATATTTTTACTAAATTATAAGGATAAATTCTTTATATGAAAAGAAACATAAGGGATTAAAATCTATGATTGGAAATTTGAGAGACTAAAACTAAAATAATAACAAATTTGTGGGACCTAAAATTATATTAACCGTAAAAAATTTTAGGTAATTACTCCTCCGGTCCTTAATATAGGATCCAATTATTGAGTTGGTTTTGGTCCTAAATATAAGACCAATTTCTCATATTTATCAATTTTCTCTAAATTACCCTTATAGATACTCCCTCAACTATAATCAAGTAGAAGAGGGAGATGAGGTATTAAGAAAGATGATTATGGTGTTTTAGGAAAAAAGCATCACATTTCTCATAATTAACTAACTTACCTAACTTCCTTAATCTAATCAAATTAGTTAAATAGGTCTTATATTAAGGATAGGAGGAGTATATCCGAGGATTTCCCCTAAATTCTGTAATTTCTTTATGCAGAAATCATTTGTTTAACCCAAAGTATGAAAGCAGAGTGCAACAGTAACAGTCAATTGTAATAGTAATTCCCCTAATTTCAGCAGACGTGCCGTCTTGGGCATTGACAATGCCATATGCTTCTCCCAACAAAACTTCATTCGCACTTCATTTCACTCTCTTTTTCTCATATTTTAATCTCTCTCTCTTTCCCTCTTTCCCAATGCCTTTCTTTTTCATATCTCAAAGCCAAATCAATCAAAATCCGCTGTAAGTAACGTAAACTCCTCAATCCTCATGTGTGTTTGTGCGTTTCCCATGCGTTTTTTCTTTTTTAACTCTCAAGATTCCAGTGATGATCGCTTTGCAACTTGTAAAATCAAACCGCCACCATGAATGAACAGTGTCTTAGATCCTAAGTCGGATAACACAAACGTGAAGTTTAAGATTGAGATGTTAGAATGCATGAAAGGGTGCCATCTTCTAAGCACAAGAATTCAACTTCTCCATTCTCGAGAACGCCATTGATGCCTTAAAATTTGGGCTTCCAGTTTCACTCGTGTGCCTTTGACCTTGACTCTCTTCTCTATGCTTCCTTCCCATATATCACACCCCATCCTCTTCCATTTCTTCTCTTCTTATCACAAACCCTTCAGATGCATTCATTTCTCTAGCCAGACCCTGTTTCAAGCTTTATATCAATGGCTCCTCCTGCCACCCCCACAAGTTACTCTCTCGCTTCAAGTCCTTTCTCTTCGCCCAACCTCGGAGCCTTGCTTAAGATCAAGGTCATCACGTGGTAAGATTCTCTCTATCTAGTTGAATTGAATCCTTAATTATATTCCAGAATTGCTTGTTTTTGTTCATCCATTGAAAGTGTTTGGATTTAAGGTACTGCATATAAATAGATTGAGTTGTATGTCTGAAAATTGTGAGTTGAAATTTGGTGCAGATTATATATCGGGTTATTCAATTGTAAACAAGATGTTTGATGTTTTGTCACAGGAGCCAAGAGACTGGTTTGCCTGTTTCAATTCGCGTCCGGGTTGGAGAGAAGATCTTTAACCTTCACAGAGTACGTCTTCTGATGAATTTAAATTCAAAATCAACACCAGAATGTTTCATTTTAAGAATTTTGATGTTAACCCAAGAATACTGTTATGTGTATAATTTGCAGTTTCCACTTACTTCAAAGAGTGGCTATTTCAAGAAAAATTTGAGCAAAGAAACATCCGAGATTGAGCTTCCGGGAGATTTCCCCGGAGGAGCAGAATCTTTTGAGATGATTGCCTTGTTCATCTATGGCTCATCCTCACTGATCGACCCATTCAATGTTGCATCCCTTCGATGTGCAGCAGAGTTTCTTGAAATGACTGAAGAACAGTGTTCAGGAAATCTGTGCGAGAGATTTGATCTTTATTTGAACCAAGTGGTACTTCAGAGTTGGGACGACACGTTGATTGTACTCCAAAGGTGTCAGATTCTACTTCCGTGGTCTGAAGATCTTCTCATAGTGAGTCGCTGTATAGAGTCTCTTGCTTTTATGGCGTGTATGGAGATTCTTGACCCAGAAGGAAGAAAAGATACACCAGTTGTTACAATGGAAGAACTAGCGTCACAGTCTTGGAGCTGTGAAATGAAGGATATGGTTCCTGAGGTGAGTATTTTTATTATTTTGTTATCTCAATATATTTCTTCATTTTGGATTAACTACCTACAGGATGTTTGCTTTGTAAAATAGGAAGGAAAAAAAAAACAGAATAAGAAACGTAATTTTATAGATAAAAAGTAATGTTGTTCATATGAAATACAAAGATTATTATGTAATGATAACAAGAGGATAATAAAACTTTGTATATTTCATTTCTTTTAGGCATAAAAAGAACGGTGTCCTGTTTATGTTACCAAATAAACAGAATGACATATTTCCTTAGAGTGTAAAAGTTGCACCTAATTGTTCGTTTTAAAAGTTTAGAGAGATATTTTGGAGTGACTTCAACCTTAAGCCGAATCCTTCTATCTTTTTTCTAAAATAATTATTGAAATTGAGCTTTGAGAATTGTTCTTGTTGAACATCACCAGGAGTTGTGGATCAAGGATCTGATAGCTCTGCCATTTGATTTCTTCAAAAGGGTCATAGGATCTCTGAGAAGACAAGGGATGAAAGAGAAGTATGTGAGTCCAATCATTGTTTTCTATGCAAACAAATGGCTTCTCTCCAGAAAGACTCCTACACAATTCTGTGAAAGTGAACTTCTACAAGGTCTCGTTGACCTTCTGCCTATTGGTGACAATATCCGCAGCAGCAGCAGCAGCAATAACAACAAAAATAATAGCAATATTAATAAAGTTAGCGGCAAAGTAAATATTCCTGTTGGGTTTTATTTTGCATTGCTTTCAAGATACCTTGAACTTGGGTTGAAAAATGAGAATATTAAAAGAAAACTACAAGACCAGATCACAGTACTACTGCACTTTGCACAAGGGGAGGACTTTTTCCCTCTTCTTCATGTTCCGGATCACTCAGTGTCAACTATGGAGAACGTAGTTTCAAAATATGTGGCGTCAAACTCAGAAACAAACCATAGTCTAGTAGGTGAAGCAAGGTGCTACAGAGTTGCAGAGTTGTGGGATTCATTTCTATTTCATGTAGTAGACGCACATCCAGAAATGGAGCTCAAGAGATTCATGGAACTGATTGAAAGAGTACCTGCAGCTTATAGACACAGTCATGACCAACTCTACAGAGCAATAAACAACTTTCTCAAGGTATGTTTTCACTCACTTTTCTGGAATGCAACTTTGATGTGTTAGACTCACAAGTGCATTGACTTTCCGTTGTTTTAAATATTTTTAAAGAATTTTTCTGTTTTAAAAGTATCCTAAAGTTAGGCTGATTAGTGAAGAGTTAATAATATAGGTGATGTGATCTAACGAAATAGCTCATGCGATCGCACATGTAATATTTTGATGGTACCCTAAGTATTAAGCAGTCAATATTCTGGTTTCTTGCTCAGTTAGACCAAGTCACTTGTTTATTTGATTATCTGATTATAGATTTAACATTAGGCTTACTTTGTAAATAATCATGATTTGTAATTTTCTTTTGGAGAAAATCACTGAGATCCCAAGAAAAGAAAAATATATAATCTCCAAAAAGTCTCAATGACAAGTAAGTAACATGAATTTTGTTGTTATTTTCTGTACTGGAACTTATCATTTACTTCTTATGGGACTTTTTGGTACACACATTCCTTCTTTGGGATCACACAGTCATTTTCCCTTTCATTTTACCAAAAACCAAAGCATTTGAGCATGGGGATCATGCAATATTATTCTTATCATCGCTTAAACCTCTAGCTTTGCTTCTGCAGGCACACAAAGAAATATCCCAAGAAGAGAAGGGAGCAATATGCAAGAATCTCAGCTGTCAAAAGCTATCACAAGAGACATGCATTGAAGCTGTTCAAAATGAACTCATGCCACTGCGTCTAATAGTGCAAGCACTGTTTGTTCAACAGCTAAACACACACCAAACCTTCAAAGAATGCTCAGATTCCTTCAGGTATACAAATTGTGGGGCAGAATTTTTGTCAGGAAGCCTGTCCAGCTCTAGATGCCCTTACTCCAGAAGCCAGAATCTAGCCGAAAGCCCATACACCACGGCCGATGGGCCTGAAATGGGTAGTAGCAGCGGCCCATTGGGCTTGATGCTTCACAAGGACATGATGATGATGCAGAAGATCAAGTTTTCCACCACAGAATATGAGGCCACAAGCTTCAGAATCCAGAACCTTGAACAAGAGCTCATGAGCTTGAAAAGAAGCCTGCAGTTGCAGAACAAAGAGTTAAGCAAAAGTCAGAAGAAGATGGTGAAACCTTATGGCTTGGAAGAAAGATCAATGAGCAAGAAGAGGAACGGTGTGGGACAAGCCAGTAGTTGCATTAGTTCTGTGAATTTTTCCTCCCAGAGAAAATATGCAAGTAGGATATTGAAGTTGTTTCGTCGCTTAACTTGGTTTGCAAGTAGGAAATCTAAGAGAAAGCCTGCAACTCCTTCTCATTGGCCCAACTCTATGTAGCAAGATGCAAGTTCACTAGTGAGATGTATCATGTTGATAAACAAAGGGGGGGAGACAAATATGTATGTATATATAACCCTGTTCTCACTTCCTCAATCTCCAAATTTTGTTAAATGAAGATGAAATTATACTTAACAGTAAACTTAATTATAAAAATGCTAGGTTTAAAGTATAACATAACATGTGAATTAATTAAAAATGACAACAATTCATTTGAGAATAACTCATAATCATTTATAATTAGTTATTTATCTTTTGTAATTTATATACTTTATTTAATGAGTTATATAGATATATAGATTAAAAAATATTTTAAAATATTTTATTAATTATATAATAGAAAAATGTATTATTAATTCCAACTTGAGACTTGTTATTTCTAGATTAAATGTTATTATTTTTAATTGATTCACATGTTATTTAACATATCATGTATAAGAAAAAAACGTCTTATTAATCTTAAATCTAGACTTTCACAATCAAGACTTATTGTTTTTAGATGCATTGTTGTTATTTTTAATTAATTTACATGTTATTTTACATGTTATGTATTGAGAAAAAAATGTCTTGTTAATCTTAAATTTAAACTTGTTATTTTATAATCAAAACTTGTTATTTCTAACTGAATTATTGTCTGAGTTGGAGCTAGAGTAAAGGAGTTAACTTATATAGATATATTTTACATTATAATGTAGAGAGATCATTAGTAGCCCAATGGTCGCCTTCTCTTTTCTTGACCCAAATGGCCTTCTCACCACTTTCCTTAAATAATTTTTCATGACCAAAAAGAAAAATCTTCTGCCACAAAAAAAAAAAAAAAACTCTACAATAGCAGCCATGTCGTGGGCGGCTAGCCGTCGCCATGGTCTCCGCAAGGTTTAAAAATTTTTTTGAAAAAACAAAAGGAAAATTTTATCATTTTTTTAGATTTTAAAATTTCAATTTGGATTTACTTTTCTCTCTATCATTTTCTATGTATTTGAATTGAAAAATGATTTTCAGGTTTTTTTTTATCATTTTCTCTTTTTTTTCATCACAATATAGTTACCATGATATGTGATAGAACTCCGAAAAGGAATAAAAATATTAGGGGGGGCGCTTGGTTAATTGTTAGAAAATTCCTATGATTTTTATTGTTGTCACTTGTCACAATATTTCGTTATCACTTGTCACTATTTGACTAGTTCAGCACTCGGCAGAAGTAAAAGTTATTTTTTTGGCGAAAAAAAGGTAATTGTTATTTTGATACTAAATTTAAGGATTATTTTAGTAATTTAAAAAGAATAAGAATATATCTAGCACCCCGATCTTTTTTATGGTGCATCCAATATCCTGATCTTTTCTTTAAAAAAGGTCCAACACTTTAATCTTATTTTTAGTGTATCCAGCACTTTAAAGTGCTGCATATTACTAAAAAGTAACATTAAGGTACTGAACGTACCAAAAAATAAGATCAGGATGCTAGATGAATGTTGGATACACCTTTACTCTTTGAAAAATGTTGTATACAAATCCATTTAACTTTCTAGCTTTTGCCTTGTATTGGTAACATGGCAATAGAGATGTTTATGGCCAAACCCAATAAAAGTCCCCCCCCCCCCCCCAAACTAGGTATAGCTAATTCTATTCAAGACATTATTGAATACTAAATTTACTCTTCGAACTTTAGTTTACCATGTTATAGAAACTACCCTCCTCTTCTCTACTAGACCTAATCCAATAAAAGTTGGGTAGCCAAGCTTGAATATCTCTATTCTCCCCTTTTAAGTCGTAATTAGAGAGATATGTTTACAGGCTAATCGAATCCCCACCCAATACTTGACCTAATGAACACCCGAGATATTTGTTTAGGTCAAATCAGATTGGGGTAGGCTTGGACCTAGTGCATTTAGTAAATTGATCCCTTTTTTTTTTTTTAAGAGAGTCCAACACCCTAATCTTATTTTTAATGCATTCAACACTCTAAAAATTAGAGTGCTGCATGTAACTGAAAAAATAACATCAATATATTGGACGAACCAAAAAATAAAATCATGGTGTTGGATGCACTGTAAAAAAAAAAAATCAAGATACTGAGTGCATTTAAAAAATAACATGAGAATGCTAGACTCTCATGCTAGACGCACCCTCACTCTTTGAAAAATATTGTATACAAATCCATTTAACTTTCTAGCCTCTACCTTGCATTGGTAATATGGCAATAGAGATGTTTACGGCCGACCCCAATGAATTTTTTTTTCCAAATTAAGTATAGGTAATTCTATTCAAGATGTTATTGGATACTAAATGTTTATTAGAGCTTTGATTTATCATGTTATACGAACTACCTCCTCTCCTCTGCCTCTGCTAGACCTAATCCAATAAAAGTTGGGTAGCTAAGCTTGAATATCTCCATTCTCCCCTTGTAAGTTGTAATTAGAGAGATATGCTTACGGGCTAACTGAGTCCCCACGCAATGCCTAACCTAATGAACACCCGAGATATTTACTTGGGCCAAATCAGATTGGAGTAAGCTTGGACCTAGTCAAAACACATTTTAATAAACATGTATTTCTTACTCACCTTCACTAATAATATCTCACGTCTATCAGTAATTGTGCAGGCTCTTTCGGGATTTTATCCCTCATGTGTCCAATCACACCAACCAACTGTCTAAACTTCTCAAAAAGAATCCTCCCGCGTGGGACAAATATTATCCTGGTTTTTAATATAAATTTCATTTAAATTTTATTTTGATCTTAGATATAAAATCTTAATTTATTTTTTTCTCATATTTATTTATTTATTTCAAAATAATACTTGTAATAATAATAGTTCTAACCAATACACTTAATAAACAAAAATATTTTATAAAAAACAATACATGTTTATTACAAATAATTAATTTAACTAGTTTTTTTAATCTACTCAAATGAATCAACTAGCTTTTATATCAGGGACTGACAGTAGTATTTTTTTTATAAAAATAATTTTTATAATACATAAATAAATTTAAAAATAAAAGGAATTAAAAATTAAAAATCTCAATTTCAACGATAATCATAAAAATTTATTACATAAAGTATATAAAATATGTCTAACAAATTGTTTGGTCACAACAATAAAACAAACCCTATTTTTCCATATCACTCTATATTAATACATAGATATTTTTGTATTATAAATATATATTTCATTATTACAAATACAACCACAATTTTGATCAATGCCACTAGGAAGCCATAAACTAAAACCTTTACTATTTCAATAATCAATTATTGACTTATTTAATCAATTATTCCTATACTATATTGAAAACAAAAGTATCATTATTAAATCCCACTTGAATTCTCTTCCGAAGTAAAGAGAGTAAGAAAACCTCATGAATATGCAAACCCAGAAGGCCAGAATCTTGTCATTGCTGATCTTAGGCGACTTATGAGAACTTTGTCCCAACAAAAGGGACTCCCCTAAGCCATTGCAAATCCAAATCCATGGTTTCAACAACAACCGAATGAACAAAAGTTCCAACAATGAGCTGATGTCCAAGGTTTCAGCAAAGTTCCCACTTATTTCAAGAAGGATTCTTTAAAATGAATGTTCAAGAGGGTTATAACTTTAAGATTATCAAGGAGGTAAAGGCTACTTCACGTTCTTGAGCATCAATGATATAACCGTAAGAAAAAAAGGGTCAAAATTATCCTCAAATAATCCCAGCAAAATCTCACAATCACAAAACAAATAAATCAAAAATCAACGAACAGCTACTATATGGAAAATCTTCTTGTGCTTTAGTCTGTTATCATAAATGGATCCACATCCCCAAGATTAGCAACCAAAGGCTCCAAGCTTGCTACATTTTCATCTTCAGGAGCAAAGTAAGTGGGGAAGGGAAGAAGTGATTCATCGGGCTTTTTATAGACAGCGTCTTTAATGAAAACAAAGTTCCCTTCAGCTCCTGGTATCTGTTAAGAACACATAAAAATCTGAGATCAGAAAGAAGCATAGCTTCAAAGTTTCCACTGATCTCACCACAGAAAGACTAACTAGTTCTTCTTGGCACTCTGAAGATTTTACCAAAAAAGAGAACTTAGTGGGGCCAACATTAGCTGCTTTTGACTTGTTTTACAGAAGCAAACTTTTAGGCAATAAGCATGAGCGGAAAACAATTTATAATTGAGCTACCAGCAGCAGCTATGCTACACAGAAGCTCTTAAAACACTAATAAAATAAGCAGTTAATTGAAATATTAAACCAAATGTCACACGTGATCTAGAACTTATTTTAAAGTTCATGGATCATAACACTGCAATAACAACAAATAACAAGCCTTAACCTGCTATTTGAGATCAGCCACATGGATTAGCATTCATTGTGTTCTACTACATCAACAACTAACTCTTAGGACGAAATAAGGATCATAGCATCATCCAACATTATTTCTAATTTCTACATAAACTTCTCAATTGCATTACTCTAAAGACAATAAGGTTGAGCTTTTTTCCCTTAATAAAATAATAATCAAGGACAACTGTTCTAAAAAAATAGTCCTTTCCTTTCGATTACAGTTGCAATGCTAATATTGACATCTTACGGAAAAATGCATAGAAAATTAAAAAATAAAAATACCTGGCCTTGAACCCATATCATACTCCTCGCAGGTTCTATTTTGTAGACCCATACATTTTTCACTGTTCTCTGCTTCCCACCCATTCGTCCAGCCATCTTTTTACCTTTAAATACCTGAGAAATAAGCAGAAAACAACTACTGTATCAAAAAGAGAAACCTAGAAAACAAAATAATTTGAAGATCCAAAATGAGTGATGCCTTGCTCTAGTTTCTACATGCAAAATATAGCAAATGGTGTATCAAGAAAGACACAACATTCAGGAGTCCCACTCACCTTTCCAGGAGCATCTCTTTGACCTGTGGAACCACCACTTCGATGTGATAATGATGCACCATGGGATGCTGGCATGCCTGCAAAACCATGCCTTTTCATGACACCCTGAAAAAGAGGATATAACGAAAATTTGTTATTCAAACAACTGAAAATTTCATACCATAAATTAGGTTACATCATTTTGTGATGTCAAGACTGCTTCACACACGTAGAAGTACTGAACATGAAACTGAAGAAAAATATCACAAGCAT